AATAAAATATACAATTACATATATACTTAGATTTATAACCGAACGTTAATACTCAACTGTGCTTGGCCGAACGCTCATGCACAGTATTCCGAAGTGAAGACGCTCGTCCTCAACTAGTATTCTTCCCAAATGAAAGAATCCACTACAAATCCAACTTCACCAGAAAACCGAACGGTCAAGGACTGTTCACTAATGTACGTACACTTTATTACGGGAAATTCTCACCAAAATCAATATTATTCAAATTCAGTTCTTAACATACTGTTTCATACTTGTATATATTTATACTATAATCAATTTTTCATATCTCATACCATCAAATCATAGAAATTTCATACATTTCATGCATCATAACATAGTATCATCATTTTTCATATTCAATCAAGTAAACGGACGTTCATGCAACACTTAATCACATATATTAAACTAATAAGCTTCCCTTACCTCTTAAGATATCCGAACATTCACAGATACAGACTAGGGTTCTCCTTCTACCAGAAGCCTTAACGTTCTATAGCACGTTCTAAGAGCTATAACCAACATAAAAACCAGCGAGATACTCAGAATGATAGGATCAACTCATGCAACCAGGAATCTGGTTTTGCATGTTACAGAAAACACACGAATGGAGGAAAGATGAACTTACCAATTCAGAATCCTAAGCTGATCGGTTCAAACGATCGTCCTCTACGCCGGAAGAGTATAATGGGTGCCTGAGGGTTGATCGGAGAAGAGGAGAGGTGAGAATTTTGTAGAGAGAAGGGAAACGTTTTAGAGAGAAGGAAGAGAAAGTAAAAATTTCAGAGTTTGGGGAAGAGGGTGCATGCAGAAGAGAGTGACGCGGATTTCAGAAAAATCAATTTTTGTTTCAAACGAACGTCCGCTCTCCCGCTGACACCTGCATTCCACTATCTGATTTTAGGATCCTCGTCTCTTGACACCTGGCGTCCGCGCATGGGGTTTTGGGTGCGTTTTTAATGAGTCTGACGAAGGGTTTTGGGTGTGTTTAACGAGGTCTGACAATACATCAACAATAAAATATTTTTAAGAATCTTTTTAAAAGTTTTATTTCTTTTACTTTATTTTATCTTTATTTTAAATTAAATTTTAACAATTTAAAAAATAATAATTATAAATAATATCATGATATAAAATATTTATAATGAACCTAAAACATGCGTCATATGTTAAAATACTTCCTTGTTATAGATGTTAGTTAAAGTATAAAATATATTAGATTCATTATTAATTTTATTTTAACTAGTAGTTAATTAATTTAATATTTAGAGACAAGGTCCAACAAATGTAGAGTTCAAAATATATATTTTTTAATTTTATCTCAATTATTAACGTTTACACGAACTATCAAACATTTCTCATTAGTTTCAAAATACATATATATAAAAATAATGTTTCAAAAAATACAAGCAATGATGTAGAGCCACGTGTGATTCCACGTAACATATTTATCCGCGGATAAGCGATGCGGAGAGTGTGTGGAAGTTTCAAAACTGAAGTGAAGAGTGAAGAAGAGACAAGAACAATGGCCAACGTTTCAATTCCACTCCCTCGAAACGGTTTCTGCATACCCAGTTACACAACCAAACGCCCATCTTTCACCCCTCCACTCACAATTTCTTGCTCTGGTCTTACTCTTCCTCTCTTTTTTTTCTTATTTTTTTTATGATTTACACAATGCTTAGCTTATCCATTTTCTCAATGTGTTGTCTAAATTACAGTTTTACCTCTTGATCTCCGCATCAATCTTAGATTACTAATTATTTTGTTGGTAAAATGATTACCCCTGTTTTGTAGGAGTAGCTGACTTAGATGGATCTCATCAGAATAAGGGAGGTTTCTTCAGTTTCAATGGAATGAAGGGCGTGGCCTGTGGTATTCTTGCAGCTTGTGCTGTTACTTCTGCTGCATTTCCCGTTACTGCTGCTACCCAGGTTCAAACTGTGTTTAAATTTCAACACTTATAGAAAATCTTTAATTTAATTCTACACATTGCATATAGGAATCTTATCTAATTTTCCCTACTTATTTTATCAATCCATAAAAAATGGTCACATCATTAATAGATTTCTAGGTTCTACAGGTTGCCTGATTTGGTTGTAGTCATGTAAACTACATATGTAAACAGAAGCTGTTGCAATTGATGTGCTTTGAATTCCTAATTTTAACTTTTAAGCTCCCATTGCTAATGTGCCCAATGAGGAAATTTCATGGATGAGTTTTCCTTTGCTGATAGATTAGCTAACAAAAGTTAAAGGAGGCCCTTGTTTGAAAGGAGAGTGGTAAAACAGGTTTTATGTGCAATATATGTACTGAAATTGTTTAGTGCGTGTATGTTTTCCATGCAGAGACTTCCCCCATTGTCGACTGAGCCCAATCGCTGTGAGCGTGCATTTATTGGCAACACAATTGGTCAGGCAAATGGTGTATACGATAAACCATTAGATCTCCGGCAATGTGATTTCACAAATGAAAAATCCAACCTCAAGGGGAAGTCTCTCTCTGCAGCACTCATGTCGGATGCTAAGTTTGATGGTGCTGATATGACAGAAGTTATAATGTCTAAGGCTTATGCTGCTGGTGCCAGCTTTAAAGGTAACATTTTTCACTTGTGCAAAATCAACCAAACAATGGATTACTGTGTCACTTCGTCAGCCTTTAGGGACCGAATACAAGTTCTTCAGTGTATCTATATTTATCAAATGTATCTCCTCCTTTCGTCGTTGTTGTTGAGATCAGTAATCTACTAAGCTTGAATGGCAGAACATATAAAACTACCTTCATTTATTTATCTTTCACAAAACTAGTTTAACCGGGCGATTAAGAGATGTTCTGATACTTATCATTGTTCGAAGTGTTCTTTTCTGACACAACCAGATGAACATGATGAGTCTATGGAGATTTTATAGAATAGTTCCAAATTATATGTCAACCTGCAAGTTGTGATTCATTCTATTTGGAACATAGACAAAGCAATGATCCAGGGATATTTTACAGGGGTGGACTTCTCAAATGCAGTGTTGGACCGTGTGAACTTCGAGAAAGCTGATCTTGAAGGAGCTGTATTTAAGAACACAGTATTGTCGGGCTCCACCTTTGACGAGGCTAAGCTGGACAAGGCAGTTTTTGAGGACACTATTATTGGTTATATTGATCTCCAGAAACTCTGCACAAACAAGTCCATCAATGATGAAGGGAGAGCTGAACTAGGATGTCGATGAAAAGAACTATAGTATGCTGCTATGCCATGACGTACCACAGCTATTTTGATGAGGGTAGCCAGTGGATTAATGTTACGTCCGAAAGAAAATTTAATTCTTTGCTTTTGTTGCATGATGTTGCATAACTTTGTAGTATTCCTCGTGATTTTAACATATAAATCCAAGTATATGTGATCATTTTACATGTATTTGATTGTACAATATCCAGTTGATTCTAAACAACCTTGTTAACTTTTCAGTTTTCGCCATGACTTAGATAAGGAAATCTATCAACTTTATTTTGTACATTACTTATATCAAATTGAAAAATCAATTTTGAAGCATGGCTTAGAAGCAATTGAAGAGTGTTGTTTAGAAGAACTAAACCGTAAGAAGTATCTGGTGTAGTGGTATCACAGTACTTTCCAAAGGTAAAACTCGTAATGTCATTCGAATATTGAGGAGTAAGATTGACTAAATCGATGAAAACATCTAACAATGTCTCTGTCTTCCACTCCCGGGCACGTGATGGGTGTTGTTGTGATCTTCCATCATTTCTCCCAACGTCACCAACAATTAGTGGTATATGGATTGACTTAAAGCTAAATTTCATACAAGTTTAAGAGATCATAAAGAGATGGCGTGTCTTTTTAAACTAATTTAAGGCATGACATAAGGGATATTTCTTGAATATTTCTAAAGAATTCAAAACTAGCAAGCAAGTCTAAAAGATTAAATAACGCTGGATAGAAAAATAGAGAGAATAGAGAAAAGAATAAATGAGTGAGAGAGATGTGTGTTTTCGGAAGAGTATAGGTGGATATGGGTCATAGACCCAATCTGCGTATAAAATCTGTGCACAAACTAATATTGTAAAAGAGAAACTTTAACTTGCGACTCAAGCTCAGCAACGCATCTTAACGGTTTTGAAGATGAAGATCGTGGTATATGGCAATATACCTACACTATAACAACCTAATTTTATTTACTAAATTTATAATTAACACAAGTTATATAATTTAAAACAAATAATATTCATTCCTATTTTCTCAATTAAAAAAAATCATTGTTTTACAAATAGACTTTATTGAAAAGTAAAAACATAAGATTGAAAAATTATCCTAAACATCTTTCTATATTGATTTCTCTCCCTAATGTCATGCATCTTTCTCAACATTTGTATTATTATTCGCTCTCGTGATAAATCACGATCTTCACATATGAAAACCGTAACTACCAAAATATAAAGGTGAACTAACATACAAACATTAAAATATCATAACTATTATACACATAAATCACAATATATCAATTTTCCCAAATCTTACATAGCCTAATGTGTCACATAACCATTCACAAAGCCTATTGTCTCAAACAACAATTTAAACATATCATCAAAACATGTCATCACAACAGTTTATACATTCGTTAATGATCTCAGTGTTAGGAACCGATTTGTAACTCTCACATGCAATTTACCAACAACTGCTCACGATTAGAGCAATTACCCTTCTCTCAAGCTTACAGATGGGACACCCTTCTGCTTCCCTCAAGCCTTAGGGTCCACTTCCCATCACTCTAATCAAGAGCTTCCGTAGGGAAGTATATAAGTATCATTTTTCATTACTCTCCTAGAAAGCTTTCCCGGCAAAGTACATAAATGCCACTTTCCACCATTCCCCTAAAGAGCTCTCTTGACAAAGTATCCAAGTCTCACTTCCCACTACTCTCTTCAAGAGCCCCCATGAAGTTCATCTCTAGTACAACTATGTAAAATCATCATTCACCACCTTCCACCGAGTCACCACATACAAGCATATATTTACCTTTCCAAACACAAACATATTGACATGTTATAACAATCCACTAGTATGAAGAAAACCTTTTATAAAGGGTAAAATTGACATATTATGACAGGTGGATTGACATCATAGTTCTAATAATTATAATAAGTCTACACATTCTATGACGTAGTAAAAAAGTATGTCATAATAAGTTCAGCCTACTATGACGTATTTTCTGTCACATGTCATAATATATAGTCTATTATGACAAATTTTCAATTATCATTCATAATATGTTCAATTTATTATGAAGTAGTTTGATTTACCTGTCATAATATATGAACTTTTATGATATAGTTATTTTCACCTATCATAATATTTCCTATGTATTATGACATATATTTTTTCACCTATCATAATATATACTTTTCAGAATTAACATATTATGACACATTATCATGTACGTCATAAAAACTTATTTTTTTAAAGGTTACGTGTTTCCATTGGATATCCAATCAATTTACAATCAATTTATCAGAAAATCAAAGATTCAATTGAACGAAAAAAATTGAATTCATTTCATACATTAAATTGTCTAATAATATTTAATAAATTATTTGTACATAAAACTATATATCCAATCCAAATATTACGTTAACCTACATATATACTACTAAATTGTAGCCAAGTTTCTACAATTTACTAACACTTAAAATAAAAGAAGTCCACTTGGTTCTAACATCTTCCACGTCTGGACCTTCCATTGGAGATGAATCATTAAAGATCTACAAATAAAATAATGGAGTTAAAACAATATTGTAATGAACAATTAGATATTATTTCGTATGCAAGCATCCTACAAATTGCCATAGTGAATAGAAGAGGGAAGTTCTAACATGAAAGTATTTATAAACCATGCTTAACAAATTTTTGCTAATGGTTAACAATACACGGTCAATCACAATCACATCTACAACTCCACCTTTTGTTAATGTATCAACCATGCTTAACAAATTTTCAACACAATCAGGATGTAATACGAAAATGTTTTTAGCATTTACACCTATCAGTTCCACAAGTTAGAAGTCCAGAGCATTTTCTACATCAAGATATGCACAATATCCTTCCAACAGAATAAATGGAAGGTATCAAATTGACAGGACACAATAAGTTAAAAAGATCGATCCAATAGGGCACAAGTGAAGAGTATGATTGAGCATCTTGCATGCTTCAATTGATAAGAAATAACACAAATTTGAGTCAATATTTCGGTTGAAACAAGTAAAAGAAAATCAGTTCTAGAGACAAATAGCTTAGTGCATTTCATGCATGTTCACACTCCACCATTGTTATCCTGAGCTAATTCAATTAAGTCTAAAAGCTTAGATCATTACCAAGAAACTAATCCACTGCCAAATGAAGTAACGACTTCCAACTGCCCCAATACATGTTTCATATTTTGTAAATTTTTCTTGCATGGTTTACCTCTTAATTATTTGTTTAGTTTGAGGGTGCATGAAATGATATGATGTCAATTATAGAAAAACATAATTGATGACAGTTTACAACGTACGAGTCTATAAGGAAGTTTCTGTATAGTGACAGAGAGCCTTTAACCTCCACATTTTTCCACTTGAAGGAAACATAAATGTGCAAATACTTGATTGAAGAATTTACTGACATTGGAACTTAATGTAGCCTGATAAGAAGTGTGTATATATATATATATATATATATAT